CTCCGAGTCCCTGCATTCTTCCACCGCAACCGGAAACCTGCTGGTCGCTCGGAACAGTCTGCCCCAAAGGGCGATTCCTCGCTCTACCGACGGCGTCATCACCCGGTCGGTGATGATCATCGCCTTCGTCGGGCCGTACACATTGCGAACCGACACGGCCGGTCGTCCGGCCTTCTCCGCCGGCGTCTTCTGCTGCAGAGCCGTGTACAGCATCGGCACGTCCACCGGATGTATCATTGCTATTGGTGTTCGAAGAACGCCACCACACCTCGACCACCTCGACTATGTCGACTACCTCGACTACTGTACTGAGGCGAACTGCTGTGCCTGTGCTTCGTAACGGACTGCTGCGGTGCGTGCAACGAGTGCCACCGCGGCGTCGTACTCTGAGCGACTTTGGCCGAGTGCGACGAACGCATTTTTCTTCCCTGTCACCTGACCGTAATAAGACCGGTGCGACGCGTTTGAAACTACCGCTGGAAACCTGCCGCGGTTAGGAGGCGCTATTGAGTTTTCAACGAGACGACTATGCGGCACTGGCATGTCGGCATGTCGTTTCATGCATGGATTACACGACAACCGCAACGGCATTGGTTGCGGACGACCAGCAGCAACGCAGCGGCGAATTCTGCACATCGCCACAATCCTGTTCGCGCCGATGCCGATTCGACTCAGTTACGGAGAGATCACGTACTGCACACCGATCATCAGTCACTCACTCACTCACTCACTCACTCACTCACTCACTCACTCATTCACACACACACATACACACACACACACACACACACACACAGTGGTTTGCCTCGCCAGGGGTTGCACTCCGCTTTAGACACCCTACTGTCGAAATTCAACCGATTTCGCTCGAGTCACAGATTGTACATGTGTAACGTTCCAGCTTTCGCCTTGAGCTACAAGAAACACTAGAACCGTCCTTGAGCATCGCCGATTCCGTCTGACTGGTTACGGCGGTAATGCCGACTCTGTCACAACTGCGATCGGCACTCTGGAACAAGCGAACATCTCGTTTAATTCGAAAGCTATTCCATTATAGCGTTCACACATGCGTGACTACTGAAGCCATAGACCGAAAACGTGCATGGTCCATGTTTCCTTTGAACCTAAACCTCTCAGTGACACAGAAGAGAGCGACCGAGCCTCCCGACCGAGTTATGACTGCACTCATCAAGGACCCTGGCACTGAAGAGTGGAAAGATTTGCTGGCGGCACAGGAACCCTACGCATCTAAAAGCAGCAGCGTGGTGTGATTACACTAAGTCCGGTAAAGGAACAGAATTTTGCCGAGTAAGCTTCTATTACTCATAGATACACGCAGCCGCGTTTTACTCCAACAACAATAACCACTTTTGCCCAAGATACGCACATGATTCTGGAAGGAACGAGGTAGCTTATTGCAAATCAACGGCATGCATAGCAATTGAGTGACGTGTGTCTCTTATTGCAACTACCTCACTCTTTGTCAGCTTGAATTTGACACTAAACTTCCCGCCTAAAATATTGGCCTTCTCTATCAGGCAGGCTGTTCGTTTCGCTGTTGGGTACCTTTCGATCAGCATTAGTAATATGCTTGTTCAGGCAGGCTTTGGATTCAATTGGCTCCATTCTTGAATGTTTCGGAAAGCCTTGCCAATTCTGGTCATCTAAAGGATTCACTACATGCGTTCAGTGTGACACGAACAACGGGCAAGCCTGATGTAGAAATTTCTTCACATGGATTAGTTACGTGGAAAGCTTAATGCCGATATACAGCCTGCTGTGTACCTTACAGTATTCGCTATTCAGTAAAGTGCCACAAAAGCAAATGTTCAGCATTTTGTTCGTAAGTTTCTCTAGCTCAGAAAATCAAAGGACCTTGCATAATCATCGAAGCAGCAACACAAAATAATGACATTTCGCAGCATTTTCATAAGCAAATTTATATTTCCACTTCCGAGCACTGGTCAGCTCAATGCTGGAACAGTACAAGAAGTTTTCGATAAATTTCTCTCCAAATTGTTTCTTTAATACGTTATAAATCTCTGATTCTGAGCTCGTTAATAAAATTACTGGTGGCCGCTGACTCATGTTTGGGGGCACCAAGCGACACAGATGTTGACACTTTTAATACCAACGCATTTCGCTGCACACTCCTTAGCATGCCAGCGTATGACTGATTATCAGGCTACTAGCCGCCGCATATGAACAAACAAAATGCCTCGACGTAAAGTGAGTGGCCGATTTACAGCAGATTTTTTTACCATCACATTCATAATTTTGAACTCAAGATTTTAATCTTTGCAATTCATTTCATGGTTCCAAGTTTTCCTGCTCTCAATTCGCAGTTCGCAATAGCACCTCAGCTTTCACTTATGGCCATAGAAGAGGAATATTCATTACATCTACGATGTTTCTTAACCAAAATATCTATGGAATCTTTTATCAGTAGACAAAGCGTCTACCGATCTGTCGATTACAGACATTCATCTGGCTGAATGGGTGTCCCTTAGAAAAGGCGTCGTATTCAATGTCAGAGTTATCAACACGACAAAAGTGCATTGCATTAATCCGCACATCACTAAACTGTATTACTGAAAAATGGGTATTTATCTAGGCCGCTAGGCAGTGAACAACTACACCCCAACCAAAACTTGATGAAAGCGTTTCAGAACAGACCAATGGCAATTTTACTAAAAGTGTCTCAGGTATGTCAGTCAATCAGAAGATGCTTCAGAAACATGCGGTTCAGGGTCTACCGCAAGATCGGCAAGAGAGAAAGGATGCTTCTATGCAAGAAGCATACCCACGACAATTCAGAAGAGTCACTGAATGTGATGACTTCGATGAGATTTGCGTTGGAAAGCCCTGCCGAAAATCGAATATCCTGATTAAAGAACACTTTTCTGCAGTCTGCCTTGGGCATGCTGATAACTCTGGAATGGGGCTACGTGTCCTTTCTGATGAACGTTCATTCAGTCAGACGAATATGACTGTGATCGACAAAGAGCGGTCAAACCTGAGTCTATTCATAAAGCTGTTTGTCGTTTGTCGCTGATCAGCACATGATCGACTTGGCTAGTAAAGTGACCTCCTGGAGCCGTCCACCTATGCTGATAGCTGAGACGATGCGCAAACAACGTCCCGCCTATTCTAAGGCCGTGCGTGGCCCCGCAGATGTAAACCGCTCATCACACAGGCCACAGAAACGGAAACAAACATGGATCTAGGTGTGCATATCAGACACATGGTACGGTCATTACTAAAACTGCCGAAATTTCAGCCATATAACTTTGGTCACCGCTTGTTTTAAGGATGGCCATTGTAGCTCGGCGGGAAGATAAGCTTTTCTAATCAAGACTTCAATGCCTATACATTCGTTGTGACTAAAACCGTTAAAGCGTCATTACTTATTTTCACACTTGAAAACTGAGCACTGTTCTCTTATGCAGGAGATTAAATCTAGGATCGTCATGTTTTTGCAAGGGATTGTGGCGTACGTAGGCTTCTATAGCACACTGCCGACGTTTGGAGTCAAGGTCCAATACTTGGCTGTCCCGGAACAAGAAAAAACCCTCGCTGCGTGTGAGTGTCACGCCCCTCGAAAAAGCCACCGTCTTCAGCGTCCTCAAGTACTCTGGTTCCTCAAGCCTTCACAATGAACAGTCTAAAGACGAAAAGTCGGTTTGTTTAGAAGCGACAATGACTGCTTTCCTCTGGCTCTGCAAGCCGCAGTGGAAACAGTTCTGAACGAACAGCAGCTGCGTTGGCTGGGACAGGTGCTGGGACGTCCAACAGAGGGAAACACCTTTATTACATCAGCGCCACCTTGATCCCTTGATAGTATCTGAAAAGAGGAGGATAAATTAATACCTGGCGGGAGGACACTGTCACAGCTGAAGTTGAACTCTTCTCTCGGCCGGCAGTGATGGAAGGAGTTGCCGAACTCAGTGACGGACAGTACGTACTCGACAGTAGTAGCGGTCATGCGGGACGTCATGGGAGCTCGCCTGACCAGTGACTGTGATAGCCGTGACAACAACAGTATTGCAAGATAAAATGTCAAAGTAGTCGTAACAAAAGTCAAATAGTCGTGGTCAAATTTAAGCAATTCATAGCATGCTGTCAGCATTAATCAACGCTCGGCCCCCGCGACCATGAAGTGACTTCTGTTGCATCGTTTTTGCCACTGTACCTCTACAAAGAGCCACGTACGGCTCGAAACGTCGGTGACTAATTTAACGCGTCTTATGTGCCGAGCGAACCTCTGCACAGCATGAGTGTCGTTGAGATTGAAATTTACCCAATTCCGCTACACGTTACGGTCATTCGAATGACTTTTGGAAACTTTACCGATGTGCTATTTGCTTCTTTAACACACGAAAAGTTTACTCCCTCATGTTTACACTTACCATTACTTTCGAAATACGAACGCAGCAGCGTCAGCAGCTTTTCTTCTTGCTTCTGCTCTTTCGCCCACCGGAAAAACTCTACAGCGTTACTGGCAGATTGCAACAGTACTAATTCTTGCATACTTCATATATCTGGCCCCATAATATGCCCTTTCATCAGTTGTTGCGTAACTCTGCAGAAAGTCGGTTTTGAGAGTTTACGCTTTAGCATTCTGACCACCTGCCTAAAATGTCCCAGCGGTGATATCTTAATTTAGAGACAGAGCTGTCACAGACGAAATCTCACATAACATTGTTAAAGGCACAAATTTCCCCTTCAATGGTACTACGTACAAGAAAACACACTGACGATAGTCTTTATTATAATGGCTCATGTTTCAGCTAAAGTGCACTGACCATTCTATAAAAGAAAAAACGATGCACAATATTGTTTGGCTATAACATCGGCAGTTATAACAATAAAAGTCTACCACTTGCTTGTTTCGTTATGTCTAATACCATCGAAATGGCGAATAACTGCAGAAGAAGACACAGAATGGAATTGAGTTTCAGAATTCATTTGTTTAAGGGATTAACCCGCTTTTATCCTAAATGGTTGCACAAGGCATAAATGAATGCTATGGTTCATCGTGAATGAATGATAGAGTAGGCGCTGAACTAATAATTTATAGTGATCATTGCTCTATATGATTTAAGCAAATATTTTTGCTGACATGAGTAGACCGGTGTTGGTATTGTGGTAGAACCTAGCCCGGATGACAGACTCATTGAATGGAAGCCTGCCAAGGGATGCGCGACAATCCTCTGACTGATGCTACAACAGACTAAAGTTTTGATATGATTATAAGTCTAATAACCCACGTTTGAGGGAAAATATGAATACTTCCTCAAGAAAGAAGAAGGTGCTCCGTAGGAAGTGCTGATTTCGGAAACCATCGTTCTAATGAGCAATTTCAATGTGCATATCGGCAGACACTGAAAAGTGGAAAGAAATGAACAGAAAGAACGGCCCTAAAGACCTCAAAAATAACACCATCAAGCTGTTGCGGTTTTGTGCAAACAACGGACTGTCTATTATGAACACCTTCCGCGTGCATCAGCATACCTGGAATAGGCAGTTCATACTAATAAGTCGATGACTGATTTGACAACTGTATCGACAAGCATACGACGCTTGCTAATGCATGTTCTCATTAAGAGAGGCGCAGAGCTCTCAACCGATCACCACC